TGTAAATTTATTCATCCTTCCTCATATAGTTTCCATGATCGTGTGCTTAGGTTGCAGATCAGTAACCTGTTCTTTCAAGTGTTACTGAATGCACTGGTAGTCATTGTGCTACTGTCATTTGTCACTAAAGAGAGCTTTTGATGGAATTTTTCCCAAAGCCGTCTCTGATAAAGACTAGTACCCTAGGGACGAAGATCAAACATGCCTGCATTTTGCAAGAAATGCTGATAGATGTCTTCTTCTTGAAAACTAGTACCCCCGGTAGTCTAATAGATTTAATACTACTGGGCATGGGTCAGTCAGATTTATACATTTCTTGAAGATATCTTCAATTCTCTATTTTTAGCAAATATTTTTCTTATTTTTAATAATTATAGTTTCAATAATTAAAAAAAATGATGTGCAATATTCCTTGGGTTGACTTTTTATCAGATGTGTTCTTTTTGTGGCAATATCTTAAATATGCTTATGAGTATGAATCAGATTATTTTCATAATATGCATCATATTCAGCAAAGCTACACTTTTTTCTATGCTATCGATAAAGAGCCATTGCTCGAAACGTCTAGCTATTTTTAATAGTTATTTAGGACTACGATTACCAAATATTATCTTCTATATATCATATTTATCAGTCCAAGCAGCATTTATTTATTTATAAAGCTACATGTAGTCTGTTTTATAATTTTTTTTGTTAATTTTTAATTAAATGGATATAACTTATTACAGCCTGCAGGTCATGATCACATTTATTGAAAAATATTCAAAAATTTATGCAAATATGTTTTTGTGAAACATTTGAAGGCCAGAAGTCGCCGTCATATTTTTATGTATTTTTCACATGTACACTGTACATGTAAGGACCAATGTCCCAAATTTTGTCTGTTACTGCTAGCAGCACACGTTTTTATGTAAATTGTAGAGATGTGTCTTGTCAAAATAATTCATATTTCAAGAACCCAAAATTACAACAATGTATAATGCAATTTTGGGTTTCTATACACTTCTATTTGCGCAAATGCATACATTTTTTGAGCATGGTTGTATTTTCTCGTTGATGACTCACAGTGAGTTTTCCTCAATTTACACTTCAAGATTGTTAACTTTCAAGGACACAATCTTTTGCATTCACCTACCTTGCCATATTGATGCATCTTAAATGACCTCACATTAAGAAATTGTGTCACCATGCCCTCTGAAATCTGTCTTTTGACTACAGCAATAAAACTCTTCATGGATGTCAATGTAAGCACTTGTAAAAGAGGCTTATTTTATGCATTGAGTTAATCACTCCAAATTTCAAAAAAAAAAGTTAGTAGCACAGCTACCCTAATTGCTTGTGTTACCAGTGCTGTATAAAAGAAAGCATGTTTTTGCCATTTTTTAAAAAGAATTTTTGTTTAAAAGTTTTTTTTAACTGTGTCATACATGTCCTATGGATCATTTCAAAAACGAGGAGGGTTGGGGATTACTATTGTTTCCTGTGAAAAGTGTTTGTCAGTGTTATACAATTATATAGTAATATTATATAATCAACTCTGTCTCACAAAGTATTGTTTGATTTCATGCAGTATAGTCATTTTTTGAATGTGGTTGGTCCATATGATATTTGGCCATAACCAAATTAAGGTTAATTTAATGTTGCTAGCATTGATACTGAATCTATATATTATGTACATACATCTACATATGTAGAGGCAGCGTCTTGCTTTGATATTCCCTGAAGTGTCTCGCCAGTGGCAGATTTGGCATTTAATTGCATCATGTGCCGTACTGTTTGGTTGTCATTGGGGTCACTACTTTTCCAGTCCTTGATTCCTATGAGAATCAAACTTCAGAGCTCCAATCATATGTCTGAGCCGCAGACACATGTGATGTTTACTTATGCGTGTTTGTATACGCTCTGTATGTTAGATGATCGGCTTTTGAGGATGAGGAGTGAAGTAGAAAGCTAAGACTGAAGTAAGCAGTATGGTTTATTAAAGTCACCTTAGTTGGGATTTGTGTTCCCTGTCTTAACTCCTTTATTAGTTTTAGGTGCATACTCTTACACTCCTGTTAATAAATAACAAGCCATGCTGCACATATTATAAGTAATGTCAACACTCCTGTGGTGCTGGCTTATGTATGTCGAGGTGGTTTAAAAGAAAAATATTCCAATAATATCAAGGTGTCAATTTCAGACTTGTGGTGCGTTGTGGTACTCCCATGGTGCATTGTGGTACGCTCGTGGTGCGTTGTGGTACTCCAGTGGTGCATTGTGGTACTCCCATTGTGCATTGTGGTACTCCCATTGTGCATTGTGGTACTCCAGTGGTGCATTGTGGTACTCCCATTGTGCATTGTGGTATTCCAGTGGTGCATTGTGGTACTCCCGTGGTGCATTGTGGTACTCCAGTGGTGCATTGTGGTACTCCCGTGGTGCATTGTGGTACTTCCGTGGTGCATTGTGGTACTCCCGTGGTGCATTGTAGTATTCCCATTGTGCATTGTGGTACTCCCATTGTGCATTGTGGTACTGCAGCGGTGCATTGTGGTATTCCCAGTACTCCCATGGTGCATCTCAATACTCCCCTGGTGCATTTTGGTACTCCCATGGTGCATCTCATTTGTGTAGACAAGAGGTATTAGATCCCTGTCACAAAAGGCAAAGTGTTTACATACCTGAACATTACACACCTGTTTTATCAAACAAGATATTGTTGACACAAACCAGATTGCAGAAGCTGTTAATTATGACAGCCATCACATAATAGCAATTCATAATCGCATTCCTCTTTTGACACTTTTTGCTTTGGTTGATTTTTTAATCCATGTATTACGGTATATTAGAAGAGCATCTCCAAAAGAAATGCATATAAACCAAAAGGTGCACTTGTTGTATACTTATTTATTTCAACCTTTCAATTAGCTCTGTACTTTGGGTAAGAGTAAGCGTGTGTACTACTAATGGAGCAAATACGGTAATAATTCAAAATGATCTTTGTGTGAAATAAACATACTTAGAACACAATGCTAGTATGTATTGGCTGTACACAAGTACTGTCAGAGATACAAATAATTTACACATATATATATATATATATAAGGTAACATTCTTCACTCTTGTCATAAAAACTAAATGTTGATATATGCCACTCAACTATACATACAATTGTGAAGTATTTTTGATGAATTGCACTCATAATGTCCTGTCTGTGTGAAGAGTCTACACAAACATTAGTATTGAAAAGTATCAAGTCTATGGGTCAAAGTTCATCAGGTCTCGGTGCCTTACATACTACATGTAGATTGTTCTCTCTCTCCCTCCCTCCATCAAAACAAATTACCATCAACTTTTGTCACCTTTTTCAAAATAAAACTGCCCAATTTTCTCCCAAAGGCAAATTAAAGGGCCTTAAGCTGTGTTGTTGATTTGTTCAAATGTTTTTTATTGCCTGTAATATTGAGTAAAAATCATCATTGTTGTATCAAGTAAATGTTATGAATGGGTCTACATATTTTTTATTTTATTCCAGAATTGTCATTAAAGTGTCAATTAATTATGATTTCTTTCTTTAAGTTTTCATACAATTCTGACAAAAACATTTTTTTTTTTATAAAGCTGTGATGTGCATATTTTTAACTGATCAAAGGTCAGGAACTTGAATGCTTTTTACCTTGCCCGTA